GGGGCCGGGGCCGGGCCAGCTCAGGCAGAGGGAGGCAGCGGCGGGGGTCTGCAGAAGCCGCTCTGAGGACAGCTGGTGGTCGGCGCACGAGCACCTAGAGGAGGCGGGTGACGTGGCAGCCGTCGGGCTGGTCCAGAAACAAGGTGCTGCATACGTCGTTGAAGAAGGTCGGGTGGTAGCGGCAGGCACGCTCACAGTCGGGGTTGAAGTTCACCTCCAGGATCTGGGGTTGCATGACCCGCTTCCCTAGACGGCGAACAAATGGGTGTGAGGGCGGCCTGGGGTGGGGGTGCGAGGGCGGGCCTGGGGTGGGGGTGTGAGGGCAGCCTGGGGTGGGTGCCGTGACCGTGCCCCACAGCTGCTGGCGGCAGGGACAGGACCCAGGTCTCCTGACTTCCCAGGGGGCCTGCCCGAGGCCTCTCTTTGCAGAGGTTGGAGCCACCTGGTGAGAGGTTTGGTTCTGGCCCCACGAACAGGCTGAGCTTCTCACACATGCACTGGGACGGTCAGCAAGGGATGGAGCCTGGGCACCCTGAACCAAGGCTGGCCTGGCTGGGTGTACCTAGGGCATTGGTTGGGGGCCCCTTCTCACATGGCATCTTCTCATGGGTACCTGGCCCACCACCCTGTATGCGAAAGACACCCGGGGACCTGCCTTTCCTGCCGTGTGTGTGTGTGTGTGTGTGTAAGAGGTGGCAGGTATGGGGAGAACCCAACGGTCAGCTCCAGGCAGGTAGCGGGGTGTGGAGTTCAGGACAGGAGCCCTCAGTCCCCTCACCATCGGGGCGGTCATCCCACTTCAGCATGAGGTCGATGGCATACACGGCCCGGGACGAGGGGTAGGCGCAGAGACCCAGGGGTGCAGGTCTGGCACACGCCACTTGGAACAGTTCCGTGAAGGCCCGGAAGATCTCAGCCTGGGGGCCGGGAGGCAGAGTCAGGGGCCTTCATGATGGAACTAGGCCTCCAGAGAAGCTCCTGTGGGGGTTCGTGGCCCCTTCTCCAGCCCCAGCCCAAGTCAGCCCTCCTACACCCTCCCATGGAATTACCACCCCATCTACGCTGGCTTCTAGCCCACGGTACAGCCCTCTGTTAATCTGCCTGGTCTCCTTCCTCAGTCTCCGTGCCCTGCACTCAGGACCTCCCACCTCTCCCAGGCCCCAGGGTCGCCCACTGGGGGGCAGCTCCTGTAGCCCAGCCCCCGGGGGCTCAGCACGCACCTGGACGCCCTGCCACGGAAACTCCGGGTACTGCTGCTCAAACTCCAGGATGAACTCGTCACAGTGTACCTGTGGCGACACACGGCCTGTCACTCTACCCCCCGTGGCCTTCAGGCAGGCCCAGCAGCAGGGAGAGGGCCCTTGTAACTGGGGCGGGGGTCACAGGGAGTCAGTGGCGGCAGGGAACGTCCCACCTCCCCCAGGGTACTACTGGCTGGTCTGAGCACAGGGCTGAGCCGTGGAACCTGGGCGAGCAGAGTTAACTGCTCCAAGCCTCTGTTTTGCCGTCTGCAAAGTGGGGCCTATTCCCTGCTCATCAGACTGACCATGAGGGCTGCTGTGCTGCTCAGGCAACACGAGACTGTGAGGTGTAGAAGGCTCAGGGCCTGGCAGAGCCCCTTCCACAACGTGTGCCTGGGGCCGTTCACGACTCCAGCCTGGCTACAGGGCCCAGCCTGGGCTCACTGCTCAGTACCAGCTCCCAGGGGCCCGAGGAACAGCAAGCTCATTCCAGGCCAAGATTACAGCCAAGGCAGGTGAGCTGGCAGTTAGCGCTGGGTGTCTAGCAGCAGGGACACAGCCCTGCATGGCCAGCCCTGACCCCGCGAGGCCCCACCTGCCTCAGCGCCACGTCTGCAGGCCTGCGTGGCCCTGACCCCACGAGGCCCCACCTGCCTCAGCGCCACGTCTGCAGGCCTGCGTGGCCCTGACCCCACGAGGCCCCACCTGCTTCAGCACCACATCCGGGTCGTAGTTCATGACAGTGAAATGCTTCTCGTAGTCATCCAGGTCGTCGAGTGTGAAGGGCCTGGACACAAGCAGACAGACACGTGTGGGTTCCTGAGCGGCACCTCGTCCACACAGAGTGGTCAGACCCAGCCTCTGCCCACAGAGAACCAGAGGGCCGAGCCGCTGCTTTGCATGCATTTGTATGCATGGGGGAGGCACCACGGCCCACCCAACGCCTGGCAGCTGAGTGGCCCATGGACCAAGAACATTGTCTACGTTGCCAATCTCTCCTACTCGGGTGTCCACCTCGTGGGAAACGCGAGATTCTGCAGCAGGCAGGAGGGAGCAGGAAGCAGGCTTGGCAGGCAGCTCACAGGGCGAGGGTGGAGAAGGGACTTCTGGACCCCAGTACAGAGAGCTGCCCCCCGGCCCACCAGCCACAGCAGCACCCTGGCCATTACCGGTTGGAGAAGCGCAGCCAGAAAACGTCGTAGGCAAAGAGCTGCAGGGGTGTCACCGAGCGCAGCAGCACGATGTAGCGGACGTCGAACTTGACCAGGCCCACGTCCTCGCGACGGAAGAGGACGGGGCTCTCAATGTACTTGGACACCACCTGGAGAGACAGATGCAGCCTCACTCCCCTGCGCTGGCAGACTCCGCCGGGGCCGCTCAGCCCTCCTGGGGTCCAACACTGCGGTCTCCTGGAGAACACTGGCCCAGGCAGGGCCCCGGCCTCCGTGTCCCCGAGGAACCTGCCCTGGAGCCCCAGCGGCCCAGGCACACCAGTCCTTTCCTGCTGCTTCCCACACCCTTGTCCGGGGCGTGGCAGTCCTTACACGGCAAGGAACAAAGCAACTCTATCAGTTCTGCACATTTGAAAGCTGACTATGAGCTGTAACTTGAAGCAACGTGCAGGGGAAGGAGCGGTCTGAGTGCTCTGTCCTCTCACGGCTTTCCCGCAAACCTGAAAGTACACCAAGACCTGAAGACCAGGACGACAGCAACAGCGTTTAAAAAAGATTTAAAACAAAACCCAACTGGACACGGATTCCAGCCCAATGTTTCATCCACTCCTCAAATCTCTACACTGATCACCGTCTGGCTCACCTTCCGGGATCCTACACACGTATGTTTCCACCCCGTGGGTAACAGGCCTGGGGAGTACGCCTGAAAACCCCAGGGGGCACGGTTCTGACACATGTGGGGCAGCATGGGTCGGGGTTACTCAAGCCCCTGGTCTCGGTCCCGGCATGTCAGTCTGTGTCCTACGGGGCCTTCAGGGTCCCCCGACGTGGCCCTATGTCACTACACAGCAGCTGTCCACACTAGGTGGCGTGTGCTGGGCAGGTGGGCGGCGTGGACAGCAAAGCAGGTACCATCCCCCAGAACAGTCTCACTTATCCCCTTACCTGGGCTGCCTCCCAGGAGCCGAGTGACCCTGCACCCCCCGACCCCGTGGCTGTGGCGCTGCAGGCCCACCTTGGGGGCGCTCTCACGGTGCCGAATAATGCAGCTGAGGTCCTTTGTGATGTGCGTGTCCAGGCTGCGGGCCAGGTTCCAGGGCTTGCAGATCCAGTGGTTATCCTCACCCCTAGGGGAGAGGGCCAGCTAAGCAGAGTCCTGTCAGCCCCCTGGGCCACGGCTCCCCAGGACCATGAAAGTGGAGGATGGTGCATCCAGCCTCTCCCGGGGCACGGAGGTGGCTTGTCAGGCCCCAAGGACTAAGAAGGAGTTCCCTGAGTAGAGAGTGGCTTCTGAGGAAGGACCAAGCCCACAACGGTTTCAGCTTGGGGGAACCGTGCTGTGCATGTGCCAGCTGGGCCGCTCCAAGGTGGCCACCCGGCCCCACGGGGACAGGGAGGGAGCAGGCCTCAGGGGACAGGGGCTTACCGCCTCTCCCGCTGCTGGAAGTAGCTGATGAACTGGGGCAGCTCAGTGCGCAGGTTGAAGGTACGAGGCAGCCAGGCCGGGCCCTCAGGGCCGCCCGCCCTGCGAGCAATGGAGGCCAGGCAGTCCTTGACCGTCAGCAGGTTCTCGCAGGGAAACTGGTTCAGCAGCACGTTGGGTCGCTCCAGGCTGAGCCTCCTGTGAACGAGATGGAGCGAGGAGTTCAGGGGGGGGGGGGTGTCAAAGGCCCTGGGGTGGGGTCAGCAGCTGGGTGGGGCACCACAGGCCCTGGGCGGGGTCCGTGGCGGGGCAGAGCTCACTGGTAATCCTTGAAGTGGGAGAAGTTGTAGAGGATGTCGGCGTCCGCCTCGTTCGGAGTGAAGGTGAAGCGTGGGTGCGTCAGGTGGCTGAGGACCTGCCGGACATCTGAGTAGACCCTGTGGAGAAGCCCGGGCTGAACTGTGGCCGCGCCCACCTCTGCCTGCATCCTGCCTGGACACCCCCCTGGAGGCAGGACTGTGATGGACCCGAGAGCAGCCTGTGGTGGAAGGGGGGCCCGCCCGGCCCCGGGCCCTGGTAGGGGTGGAGCCTGCCCCCCAGCCCTGCTCTCTGCTGGCCACGCCCCTCTCTACACCTCGTCTGTAAAATGGCGCCACGTCCTGGCAGACACTGAGCCTATTCCCGTGTGGGGTGGGCCTCCACGTGCCCACCTGCTCTCACATAACGGCCCCAGCTCCACGTGCACACACCGGGAAGGGCCCTGGGCACTGAGACGCCTTGTCTCAGAGCCAGAAACCCCAGGAGAACAGGCTCCCAACCTGTGGTGCACACGTGCTGGGGTGTCCCTCCATCCTCAGGACCGGACACACCCTGGCACCCGCGCTGGGAGGACCCGGAGGCCATGGGGCCTGCTGAGGGGGCCAGAGAAGGGTACGTACTTGAAGATGTGGTCGGGAGGATACGTTGCGGGGCTGATGACTGCCGGCAGCTTCTCTTTGTTCTCTTCCAGGATGGCCTAGAGGAGGAAACGGACCTTAGAGGATGGGGCCACATGACCACACGCCACCCCCTCACACATCAGGGTGGTGGCACAGGCCACACGCCTGTCCAGCAATGCCCTGGACATGCCTGGACCTCAGGGAGGGCCTCTCCTGGGCACTGCAGCCACCAGTGTCCACGGACTCTGCCTACCCCCTCCTATGACCGAGACTGCCCGCCGTGGGGTGCTGCGGACCCTCCAGCAGCCAGCACCTGGAGCACCACACCTGGCTCAGACACGGGCAGGTGGCGAGGAAGGGTTTCCCAGAAAATCCCGAGTGTTTGTCAGGAAACTCGGTCTTGCTACAAAGGGACTGTGGGGCTCATGGGCCCCTCGGGGGCCGAAGAAGCTGGTTCTGGGTGGGAAGGATGATGGTACCACTGCCTCCAGAGCACAGGCGGCCGGGAAAACACCGAACCCGTCCCGGGAGGCGCTGCTTCTCTGAGAGGAGCCCCAGGCGCCGGTCCAGACTTGGCTGGTTTAAACAGGTCGACCAACTCCGTGACACTCCCTTCAAAGGTGGGGCTCAACTCCTCTCCCCTCGAGTGTAGCCTGTACTTAGTGCCCTGCATCTCACAAAGAGAACAACAGTGGGAGTGACTGGGCACTAGTTCTAAGAACAGGTCGTAAAAGGCACTGGGAGAAGCTGGCCACCATGTTGCGAGGACACTCAAGCCGCCTGTGGAGAGGACCACGTGGCGAAGAGCCCACAGCCAGCGACGTGGCAGGCGTGTGTGAGCCGCTGGGAGGCAGCGCTCCGGCCACGTGTCAGGACGGCAGCCCCGGCCAGCAGCGAGACAGCAGCCTTGAGACCCTGAGCCACTCCCAAGTGCCAGTCCCCCGGAAACCGTGTGAGGTAACGGGCGCCGCTGTCTGAACCCCCCGTGTTCTGGGGTAATTTGTCACCTGGTCAGTTCACAGCTTCCCAAGAGGAGACCAATTTTAATTTACATTCAATTAATAAGCAAACCCAAGAGCAAGCAGTATCTGCCTCACGCCATCCTTAAACCTCGCCCACCGTGTTCACCGAGGCTTCACTCACTCACTCACACGTACTAAGCACCTACGCAGCGTGGGGGATCAGCGAGGACACGAAACACCAGGATGGTGCCGTTCTTCACCGTCGTCGGCTCATTCACCAGACTCAGTGAGTGAGTGAAGCCGGACGACAGCAGACCCGACAGAGTGTCCCCAGACTGAAAGGGGGTGGCAGCGTCAGACCCCTGGGGCAGGGGACGGCCTGAGCTACGGGACCACAGGTGGCGCATTTTCACCCTGAGCCTCTCACCCCTCAAACGCTCCCCAAACTTTCTTCTGGTTCCTGTGGTAACCAGCTTGGGCCTGGCAGCCAGCTGGGGGTCAGCAACGCTGGGAGAAGCTGTCCGAGCAGACGGGCCTGGCTGGAGGGGCACACACCTGGTAGTACGTGTCGGGAGGCTCAGGCGTGGAGGAGCTGAGCTCCTGCAGGTCGGCAGGCACCCAGGGCAGCAGCATGCACTTCCGGATCAGGGGGTCCACCTCTCCGTAGGCAAAGTCCCGGGTTACCTCCTCTGCACCGAGACAAGCTTGTCAGGGGCCGGCAGGCGGGGACCGCGTCTGGCTGCATCTGGGCCGGTGGCGGCAGGGTCTGACTTACCGCCTGTGTCTAGGTCCCTTAGGGGCCACAGCACCGTGTAGGCCACCTGCTGAGGCATGTAGAAGAAGGGGGCCGTGGCAAAGCTGGGCACGTCTGCGTGCTGGATGCGCGAGCCAAACTCGTCCATGACATACCACACCGGTATCTTCTCCTCGGCCGTCTGTGGGCGGAGCACACAGCACTGTCACCGTGCCCTGCCCACCTGTCTGGGCACCCAAGCACCCGCTACCCAGCTACCTGCACCTGGCTCTGCACACTGTGAAGGTCAATACCCACAGCCCCGACACCTCCATCTAGAGCACGGCCCTGTTCCTGCAGAACAGTCAGCGGCCAGTGCGAGGCAGCGTGGGAATGCGGGGGGAAGAGGGGCCAGGGCTGCAGGGGCAGGGAACCGTCAGCAAACCTAACAGCTACAGAGCTGTGCTTGCTTCTGGGGTGGGAGATGAGGGTAGGGCTGGTGGTCAGGGAAGGCTTCCTGGAG